CCTACTGAGGAAGAGAAGTGCAAACGGTTTGAAGAGGGACTGTGGATTGAAATTCAAGCTATGGTAACTGCAAATACTTACCCTTCCATGAGAGTGTTGGCCTAAGCAACAAACTGAGTAGCGAAGAAAATTAGTGATGGTGTAGAAAGAAGAAGAGGATCTAGTTATGGTTCTTTAGGTAGTGGTTCGTCAGGGGGACGCGGATCAAGTTCAAGAAGTGGAAGATTTGGACCTATGCCAAACTGGAGTCAAAATTCTAGTCAACAATCAGTTGCCAGCATAGCTAGGGATTCTTCATAGCGAATTGGCTTAGCTTGTCACAACTGTGGACAAATTAGACATTTTATTAGGGACTGTCTACATTTTGATCAGATCGGTGGGCAGTGTCAGAGGACTGGCCTAGGTTGTTACGCTTGTGGACAAGTTGGACACAACAATGAGGAATTGTCCTAGTCTCCATCCAAGTGGTCCAACAATGTAGTAGCCTAGTAGGGGCAAGGTAATCATGGCTAGAGTCAAAGTTAGAGTGGTGCCTCATCATTAGCTACAGGTTCTTCTTCCAGCAGTGGGGTTCAGTCTACCTTCTAGGGAAAATGTGGTAGACATCAAAGAGGTCAACAAGTGCGTCCAGTGACTCAGGCCCGTGTGTTTGCTTTGACTCGACAGAAGGCACAGGCCACACCAGATGTCATCATTGGTATTTTACATGTTTTTGGTTATCTTGCACGTGTTTTAATAAATCCAGGAGCCACAAACTTGTTTACTACACCTAGTTTTGTACCTTATGCAAGTGTTAGACCCACACCGATTGGAGGTGAATTTGGCATTACGTTACCTACGGGGGAATCCAGGATGGGTCTTGTCAACTTAGTATTAGAGCAATCTAAGAAACCTTTAGTTACACAACCAAAGTAGTTTTCAAAGGAAATAAGCAGCAAAAGTATCCTACAATGAAATCGAAGCGCAAGAAGAGGAAGACTTGGCTTGATTGCTCGGGTCATGTAAACTATGGCCTGTGGGGCTCAAAATAGAAACTGTGAGTTGACAAAAATAAAGTTTTGAACATAATTGTAATCGAACGTACTAACCCCACCGTTTTAGAAAAACGATGCTAAATCATGCAATGAAATCCATTGTTGTAGTATACTTGAACTTTAAAACCAAAGCGATCCCACAGCACACCCCCCAAGGAAACCAAAGCAATCCATCGTCTATACGGCCAAACTAAGTCCTACACGCATAGACTACCCTTCAAGAGCCCACAGCACACCCCCCAAGGGTGCCCGGATCTTAACCCACATGACGGCATCCATCATCGACATGTGAGCCCACACGTTGGAATCCAACATCGCCCTTGTGGTAAAATAACATATCGAACCAGGGAAGGTACATATCACAGTGCAAATCCGAAAACCAAAATACCATAATCATCAATATACATATCTCTCACAATTCACTTTCCAACAAATATAACCGGGTTCCAAAAACTCGCTTTCACAAATATTCAAATCAAAACATCCCAAATATCATATTCTCAAGCTCAAAATATCCATATACTTCAAATCTCACATTAAAATCCGAGAATCCCATAAAATACTATAAACCATAGTTAAGACAATAATATAGATTCATAATCCCAACAAAACCAAAATAACTCAAGTCTCAATCAAAACTCGTTTACGCATGCAATTCCATATTAGAATAATAATGCCCATTTAAAACAAACGTCCACTAGCAAATAGTCCAAAGCTGCTTGACCCTGCGAGGGTCCCGCCTCTTGCATACGTGGAATTGTTTTAAAGAACATGGGAACTTGATCAATAAAAGTACCTCAACTGTGAGCTTTAATTCAAACTCCTAAATCCCAGGACTCAAAGTGTGTGCACGAATTTTGGGGAGTTCTTAAGGCCAATCTAATACTTTTTGAAAGGTGAGACGACTTCGGAAGACTCGTGGTCAACTGAGTGGTCGAACTTCCCATAATTATCAACCGAGCCCTTGGGGCCCACAACCTCCAATTTCGGATTCGAAAGTTCCTAAATGATCCTAGAGGTACAGGAAACAACATAAATGAAATTGAAACTGATTGAACGATCCGAACCTATTAAACCCGGATATCGGATAATAAATGCAATATCTGTTTTATAGTCAAACGACAACCAATTCCGAATTTGAGCATACTGTAGTGCTTGGAACGACGCAGGGAACATTGTAGAACCAAAATAGGCCGCCACACAGTGGCCCAAGTACTGCCACCTGCCGCCGGCAGAGGCAGGTGTCTTGAGAAAATTCCGGTGACTGCAAATTCTCAAAACACCCTACAATACCTATACCAACAGAATCAAACTAATAAAGGGAACATTTTTGCTTCTTAGGCCCTGACCAAAAAGTGGCCAGAAACTAGAAAATCGCTAATAGCCATCAATGGCGTCACACGACCTAGGGGAAAGTAAGAGGGAGGAGAGAGCTACATGTTCCAAGTGGTGGCGTGACCTGAAGTGGTCGAAAATGTCGCCAGCGACGTTGAGAAATTCGGCTGAATCTTCTAGTTGATACAACTGGTGTAACTTTGGTTTTTTATCTGGGAAATTGGGTAGGTTAGATAGAGGAGAGAGATGGTTCTTTGGGACTAGTATTGCCTAATTTGGTCGCTGGGCAACGATGATCTCGTCTCTCAAAGTGGCGGCATTGCAAGAGAGAGAGAGAGAGAGAGAGAGTATGGGGGGTTCTGACGCACGAGAGGGAGAGAGAGGAAAGCTGGGTATTTAGGGTTTTCTGACAATTTTCAAAATTACATTTAAGTCCTTTCGGTTTTCAAACCTTTACATGATTGTTACAACTCGAAATTGACACCTGTCTACGAACTTGTATCGGCGAGCCTTACACAAAAATGTCACTCAATTCCCCAAAATCCATCTTAAACGAAAAGTGACTAAAGTGCCTCTACTCCCAAGGGCAAAATTGTAATTCATGATTAAAAAAATTAAATTACACAATTAAATTGGGTCGAGGTGTTACAAGATGAAATTCGACTTGGCCATATGCAAATACCACATCTAAAGCCATTTTGATCTATGCATAGTTGTGGCATTCAGTTCCAAAACAATACACAAAATTATATGATTAAAATTACTAAAATTAAAATAACGAGAACCAAAAATGGAAAAGGGCCTTTATGGAATCACAAATTCGCAACTTAACTCAGAGCAGGCCACGTGGACTCTTCATGTCGTGAATGATGAAAATACCCTTAAGACCTAGGCCTAAGAAGACATATGTTGCAAGGCTCGTAAGCAGGCAACAACCTCAATTAGCTGAGCACGGCTCAAGGAAAGTCGATTCAGGTGAGGAAGAATGCTCAACCACTGTTCATTGTTCAATAAAGCACATGCACCAGCAGGTGTCACCACGAAATCCGAAATGGATCACAACTACCATCCTACAAACATGGATAGTGTCGTTGTGGGTTAACTACCATAATCCCATTATCTTCTCCACATCAGAGAAGTGCAAGCCCACAAAGACTCATCACCTACCACCTGTCATCTACAAGACTACAACTGCTAGTAGTTAACATATTTCAGCCTTTGTAAATACTTAGACATTAGTCATCAAACAATAATGCAAACTTGGTTCACACTGTCTAAATCATTTTGCACTCTCTCACTCTATATTTACATAAACACCATCTTACTTAAGCAACAAAAGTTCCTTAATTGGCAAACACCACAACAGTGTTCTTCCTTAACATTTGTTGTTTTGCAGATCACTCGTAGTAGCAGACTACTCATGAAGAAATTTTGATCCATAGCCTTGACTTACATACTAGTGGTCTTACATTCTAACTCTCATGGCACTTTGGAAGTGTGTGTGGAAAACCCCTTTTCACTTATAAACTATCGCTTCTTTTCAACAGTGCATGGCTTCCACTCAAAGAGGAAGCCCCATCAGAATAGTCAACAAAGAGTGAACAGTTAGAATTGATTAAAGAAGATAGAGTGTGAATGACCTAACCAATGGGTAGATGGATAAGAGGGTTGGTCCACGACCCCTCGATGCATTCTGCTTGAGTCTTCGCAGTCATGTCTCTCCCTCTAGTATAGTGAATGATTCCATGTAGAGTTACATACTACAGTATAAAACCCTCAATCATGCTTTCCAATGACATATATAGATTGCCTTTCCTTCGGCTACCTCTTTCTATCTCAACTTCTGCTAACAACCGCTAGAATTAGGATATCGAGAAAGAGGGTAGACCGTAAAGCCCCGTTTGGTTCATAGAAAAGGAGGCTTGGGGATGGAAAATCAATTGTTTTCCCATGTTTGGTGTGTCCATGCGTGGGAAATGGTTGACTAACACATGGGAAAGTATGTGGGAAAGTGAAGCCCTCCTCCTCTCTTGGGTTTTGTTTTCCCTCCCATGAAAAAGTTTGGGAAAATAAACCAACATTAAATGCACACTTTTCATGACCATTTTGTCCCCATTAACACTTTAGAATTACAATATAGCATTAAATGTATTTTTTTATATATTTAATTTAGTATTGGTATAATTGGAAAAATTAAACAAACTTTATTTCACATTCCTACACAAACCAAACATGAGAAATGAAATAAAGGGTTTAGGGTTTAGGGTTACTTTCCCAACATTACCGAACATGGGAAATGAATTTTCAATTTCCCATCCTTTGAGGAATGATATGGAAAATGATTTCTCATCAAATCCTTTCCGTGAACCAAACAGGGCCTAAAGAGTTGAATAAAGACAAGCAAGAAAACATAATCCCAACCTATACACAAAAGAATAGAAAATGCATGAGGACAAAAAAATTAATTTACCCTATATTTTATAGAGTGGTGATTTCCCCACTCATTTTTCTTCCATTTTATCCACTTACACTCTATTTTTATAACTAAAAAATGAGTGTATGTGGATAAAATAGGAGTGGGAAAATCATTGCCCATTTTATATTGTTGTTTGTTGAAGATATAGCATTGCCTTGGTGAAGGTTTCTTAAAACCAACGGGCAGAGTCAGGAGCCATAGCCATATACATAAGCAGGGGAGTTGGAAGATGTCCCCCCTATTTGGACGTTATTATTGAATTGAATGGATATATGCCGATTCGCTTTGCTTAATTCCCCACTTCATCTTCCTCCTTTATCGATCCTCATCAGGCCTCCTGTTCTGTTTCAATCCTTCCAAACTTGCCCTCCAAAAATCACCAAATTTTCGCACCTGCCACTCCTCCCCCCAAAACCCATCAATCATACTAGACTCCTCTGTACCTCCTCCCATACTTCATCGCCATCGTCGTCATCAATGGAAGCTCCTCCCCAAGGTTACCGCAGGAATGTCGGCATTTGTCTCATCAACGATTCTAAGAAGGTCAGGTTTTCATCTCCTTCTATAGCTGTCTGTACCAACTCGTGTGTATGTACCTCCATAGACTGAATTTTTTTGTATACGTATTTTTCTACGCAGATTTTTGCTGCTTCAAGGTTAGATATACCCAATGCTTGGCAAATGCCGCAGGTAAATTCATAACAGTTTGGATTGAATGTCTGGGTTTTTCTATTATTTTTTGTTTTGAATGTTTGGTGACTGGGGGATTGGATTTTAAGGTAGGATTAGATTGCATTGTATTGGAAAAAATAATACTAATACAATCCTAAGTTGGCTGGATTGAGTCAAATATGCTATTTGGAGTTTGTTTTTTAATATAATTGAATAACATTTACAGTCTTTTCAACATTAAAAATAACAATTCTGTATTAAAATAACAACTATAATTTTTTTCGAGTTTCCATCAAACCTGCGCCTGCACACACACACACACACAGCACATACACGAGTTTTAAGTTTCTTTGGAGCATCCAAGCAAGCACTTGAAACATTGAATTAGATTACAAAAATTTTAATAAGCGCTGAATTCTGCATTCCTATGTCTCAATATCTGGTACAAAGGATGAACCTTTCAGTAACAAGTAATGACCACCCCTTTGAATATGGTCAGGCAACCTACCTGCTATATAACATTTTATATACAAGTAGGAAAGGAAGGATCTTCAATTTGGAAGAAGGTCTAGAAGTACTAAAATTGACAACTGTTTAGCCATACTGTTTTGACTTGCAGCTTAGATCTGCGATCTCATTTCATTGAACATGAAGTATCTAAAAGGGCAGTACTCCTGATATTAATATGTGGGGTTTGGCTTCCACTTACAGGATTAAATGAACATTGGCAAGTTCTGAAAACGTATTGGATTTCCAAATGGTAAATATATTGTTGAATGAAACAGTTTAAGGCATGAAAGACTCCAATGTACAACCGTTACAAAACTTTTTTCTCAGAATTGAATATCGTCCATAATTGCTTATGTGGTACTAGTTAGGATCCTGTTAATGATAATGTGCCTACCTTCTGCTCTAATCACGGATTGCCATTTTTCGTTTAGGGCATGACTAAATGAAGTTTGGTTGAATCAGTTATTGAATATGTAAAGGGAGGAAAGTATAGAGTTTTTAATAGGAACATGCCAATGAGTGTAGCTACTAGCTGCAGTCATTACTTGATTTCCTCTTGTGTGAGATTTCATTGTTTTCTTTTCATTCAAATAGTATTTAATAAAATTTGTGTTGGAAAGGGTGGTATTGATGAGGCTGAAGATCCAAGAACTGCAGCCATGAGGGAATTAAGAGAAGAGACAGGAGTTAATTCAGCAGAAATTCTTGCAGAGGTAGTACTTTTCTGCTGCTACACTTGTGTTTCCATTACTGTTTTCATGTTTTTGCAACATTACACCAAACATTTTTATGCCTGCATTTTGTTAAGTAAGTATGAGAGAGTGCAAAAAGATATGCTAATCGAGTTGTATGTCTTTGTTGGAATTTTGTTGGTTGTTTTCATTTGGTTATCAGACACCAATAAAGTCTGGTGAAGGAAACATTAAACTTAGCGGTTAAAAGGGAAAGCAGTAGAAAACCTGAACTAAGTGGTCTACAAGGATGAGCTTAGATATGCTTCTTACCATGTTGGTGTTTGGATAAAGCAACAACATTTATTTTTCATAAATGCAAATATGAGCGGTAAGTGGAAATCCAACTATAGTTAGCAGATGTGGAAAAAAAAAAATTGTTGAAGTTAAAACTCTGAAAGGAAGAGATGTTTGATCAATGACCCTGCAAACTTCTGCTCTGGTAGTTCTTCAATTTTCTGTCGAAAGCCCACATATGAAACTGATTAGTTATGCTAGGCCTAGGTATTTCTTGTAGAATGCTTTCCACATTTTCTTTCTCCAAGTCTTACACAATTTTGCACTCTAAATTTAGCCTTGGTAGAAGTACTAAACTAGATAGTATATGTATATTATCCCTTCAACAATTCAAATCATTAAACTGGAGATTGTTAGATAGAGTCACAGAATTCATTGAATCTCCCCTCTCTTGTTCGTACTATTCCAGAATTTTATGGTTCACACTCTATTCCATTATTCATAAAACAAATTTGCAGTTTTATAGTGAAAGCACTATAAGTTCATGTTAGTTACATTGTAGCAATTAACACATTATATATTAACGCAGTTTGTTTAGAATTAATAACCTTAAAAGGTTAAACCTAATCAATTACAAGGGAATTTCTTTTTTTTTTTGTTGGTGTTAGCAATCATGGCATCTTGAAATATATTGTTGAACCCACCCTTAAAATTGGCTGTTCCGTGGTTAGACATGGAAGTTCTAATGAATGAATGCCTTGTCGAATTTCCAGTATTTTATTATGCTTTATAAGTAATTAAAAGGGAATATTTAATTGTTGCAGATTTCTTTCCTCTTTTCTATCTGGGCTCTATATAAATTCCTTGTCTAATCTGATATCCTTTAGCTTACCTAGCTATTACATTATAACTCTCGACCACTCACTGTATTCCGACAAGCAATTGGAGCTAATGATGTAGTCGCCTTTCACTGATCATGAATTGTTTTAGTTTTTCTTTTACATTTTTTAATTGAATTAGGATCTTATGTGAAGTTCAAATCCATATATAATCTTAAGATCTTGGGAATAAAATCTTATTTGTGCTAAGTATGTCGCTTTCATATTTATCTTTAATTCATTTTCTCAGATTTTGATACACTACATTTTTGGTTCTGATGGATATTATGGATTGCTTTTTTCTTTTTTTTTTACATTATTGGCATAAAATAAATTATTATCATGGGCTTGGGTTGAGCCAATACTCTACTATGAATGCTTCTGGTGTGGGTAAGTAATGAGTATACTACAGTAGTTATCCATCTCACCCAACCTTCTGTCATTGTCAACAGTCCAAAACGTCCTAGTCAGGTCTACAGCTAAATGCGGTGTTCTGGAACTTATGGTTGGAGCGTAACAGAAGAATTTTTTAGGACTACAAGGGTGTGGGGGTGGGTGAGATGTGGGATAGAGTGAAGTTTTGGGCGGCATTATGGGCTTTGGTTACTTGTTTTTAAGAATTTGGCTGTCTCTTCTATTATGCGAGATTTGTTAGCGGTTGTGAAGTGATGTGTTGCTCTTTTCTTTTTACCTGGATGGCCTTCTTGTTCGTTTTTGTCCTTCTTTCCTCTGTTTGTTTTGTTCTTGAGGTTGCTGTTTTCTTTTGTTTTGCTCTTGTGGATTCCTTATCCACTTGCATGTTTCCTTGTTTATCTCTTTTGATTTTATAAAGTTTCTATTTAAAAAAAAAAAGGTCTACAGCTAAATGAATCTTAGTCCGATCAAGTGCCTTAAGCATCCTTGTTACACCTTTCCCTCCTCCGATTCTACCAATATCACTGAACTCCTTATCTCTATCACAATCTCGAAAGTATTCTATTCCCTATTAGGAAGATCAGAGAGGAAGTCTTTGTCATAGAGGTAGGAAAAGAATGAGGGGGACTTCGAGACTATGAATCCTTTCTTATTCTCCCCTCCTGCAATAAGGACGCACCTAAAGATGATACTTTGAATGAGTGTAATTTCTATGGGGGTGCATCTGGTTCCTTATTTTCTGGTTATTTAATCCGCCTTTTTCTTGGAGGTATTGTAGTAATTCTTGTTTATACTATTAATAACATTCTAAGAGAGTCAAGGTTGCAGATTTCATGATCTATTCTAGTATTCCTTTCCAACTACTTATGCAGTGAAACAAGATGCTTATTTTGCATTTTTAATGCCAATCCTATTCTTTATGAAAACATTCTCTCTCCTAACTAACACACTCCATTTGTTTATGTTTGCATTAAGATAGAAAGAAATTGGAAATGCAGGAAATGGGATTACCACCTGAAGATCTGGTGAACCTTCAAGTTATTTTGGAAAATGATGGATAGTGTTTTTTTTTTTTTTTTTTTTTTTGGGTGTTCAACATGAGTCATTAATTTAACATGTTTGATTATTTTTATCTGTTTCTCTTTACTTTAGACACTTATATGCAGCTTATGTTTTTATGTTTTTCTTTTTGTTACATCATGTTTTTATGCTTGCATTACATGATTAATAGGTAATAAGTTATTGTATATTATCTGGTGTGTTATAATGTCCTTTAGCTGTCTATTATCCGTACCTTTTCTGGTACATATCCGCTTGTGGGAAAACATTCAGTTATGATTATTTTTGGCTTTTGTCCTGTTCAGGTACCTTATTGGTTATCCTATGATTTCCCACCAGAAGTTCGGGCAAAACTTCAGCAACAATGGGGATCAGACTGGAAAGGCCAAGCACAGAAGTGGTTAGTGTCAGGATCACAATGCCTTGCATGTTGCGTAGGCTGCAACCTGTTTAATCCTTCGTCTGGGGACAAATATTATATGCCAGTTTATAACCACAAGGCATCCCATCATCTTCATTTAACTATCAATACAAGTTTAATCGTTTAAGCATGCAATCAATGTAGCAATCATTCATTTGTGCATGAATTGGTGCTCAAGATTAGTTCGAAAACCATATTCTAAAGTTTTGCTTCTGCTTTTGCTTTCTTCTTTTTTAGGTAAGAGAATAACTTGTTGAAGTTTAGAGATGACATGCTCATATTCACATGGTCTTATTTACATAATTACATGTATGTGCAATTTCACAGGTTTCTTCTTAAGTTCACTGGGAAGGATGAAGAAATCAATCTTTTAGGTGATGGGAGTGAAAAACCTGAGTTTGGGGAGTGGTCATGGATGTCAGCAGAACAAATTATTGATCTTGTGGGTTAAACTTAGAATACATATTGTTTGAATATCAAACGTTATATATTATTTTTATTATTTGAACATGTATTTATTATTATTATTTGTTGGTACAGGCTGTGGATTTCAAGAAGCCTGTCTACAAGGAAGTTCTTGCAGTTTTCGCACCCTATCTTCAATAACCTAGGGTTGAGGGACCCTGATTGAATGATTTGAGCAAATGTTTTTCGCAAGTTTTTGTCCATCGTTCAAGTTTTTGCTAGGCATCTGTGATCTATCTGACCATAATTAAAAAAGCAAAAACCTGAGTTTTTGCTAGGCATCCGTGATCTATCTGACCATGTCAATAAGTACTTTTTTGATGTAATGAATTCACTAAATCTTGAAAATGAGATATCTGGCCGTGTATATAATATAACTGTTATTTGTTCCCACCCAGAAGAGTGCAAGAATTCAAAGTGCACATATGCACCTCCCCATTCTCACAAATTCTCATCTTGCATAATGAAAGTCGTGTGTATGTATGTGTGTTTTTTATTTTCTAATTAAATGTTTTCAATTGAAAGGCAGGATGAAGCCTAGAACAAACAAACGAACTAACAGGGCACATCCCTGGAAGGAACCTTTCTCAAACAGATGCAATCCAAGTGACTCCAAACCGATATTCTAACTACCCCAATGTAGTAGGAGAGGGATCGAACTCAGGTACAAGGGGGCGAACGCACTGCCTGGACCATTTGGCCTAACCCACTGTCACCTTTTTAATGAAGATAACGTGGTCAAATTCCTGAATGAAACCTATGTCAACCATATGCCAATGCCTTAATGCCAAGGTCGACTCAGATGCTAGCTGAGATAGTTGGAAGGGATTGTAAAGCTCCGAATATGACAGTAAAGATACCTTTCAAACTGCAGCTGATCTGATACTTTGAAAGGTCCGAGGTTATGTTCTCTGTGTATTAGGAATATGTTTATAAGAGCAACAATCTAATTCATTGCATGTGTTCGAAAACATGTTGAATTCATCAGTATTAATTCAAAAACTGTAGCACTGACCCTTCAAATACAATCAAAATCTTGCAATAAAATACGAGACAGACTCATTTTCTCGCTTCCTCACAACAATGCTTTGAAATTTTAGCATCCAATCAACTTAGAGAGGAGCTACGTTTGAACGTTTTAAATTTGTCCTCGCTTCCTTAGTCAGGCTTGACAAAGCCTTTTGTAAGCCTGAGCTTCATGATCAACACCTAGCCAAGTGCAAGCAAACTCAGAGCTTCTTGAGATCTTAAAAGAAAACAGTGCAACTACTTATCCACCTTCTGAAGTATATTCTGCACATGTTTAGTAACGATATCTGCAACGATCTCAGGAGAGAACCTTGTGATCATGTCTTCCCTTGCTTTTTCCCCTTTCACCTTGGCTTCCTCGACATTATTCAGCACATGCCTCATGAGCACACGAAGCTTACTGACAGAAGGTTCTGCCCAGCGATGCCCTCTGAAAGGCCCTTCCATTATGTCGCTCATTCTATCCACCGGCAATGGATAGCTATTCTCCTCAGTCAGATACTCTGTTGGCCCTGACCAATTCGTAGCAATCACTGGCAATGACATTGCCATAGCTTCAACAAGAGGCCTTCCCCACCCTTCCCCTCTTGATGGAAGAACAAATGCATCAGCTGCCTTGTATACCCGTGGCAAATCAATCTGTGCTATGTGAGTATCTATCACATAAACTGGAGCCCAACCAGTCACTGGTTTCTGCATTCCAGATTTTTCCACAAACTCCACTATCTTATTCCCAAAATCTCTATCAGAGTGATAAGGATTTGTTAGAAGATACAAGGCAACCCCATCTGCCTCACTGAATTCTTCCAAATAAGATTTCAACAGCACATCCCATCCTTTCCTATACTCCCACTTAAATATACTCATAAATACAAATTTCTTCATCACTTTCGAATTCTGGGTTGTCTTCCCCATAACCAACTTCCCTATAGAGGCAAGATTTAAAGGCTCATACTCAAGTGGATCAAAGAACTTCACATCAATGGGCTGCACAATTTTCACAACCTTAGATTTATCAACCCCACTTTGTATAAATGTAGACACATGAAACTCAGTAGGAACCCAAACATAATCCATTTGGTTACAGCGCTTCACATGTTCTGGATTCACCCTATCGGTCTCAAACATGGTCCGGCCAATCACCGACTTGAAATTTTGGTAAGCAGTTGGTGGGCAAGGGAGTGTTTCAAACAATGGAGGGTTCCAAGCACCAGGCTCACTGTGGCATATGACTATGGTCTCCTTCATACTACATTGTGTGTGGTAAAGCTCAACTGCCAAGTTCTTCATATATTTAGGCAAGCCCTCCCAGAATTCTAGGGACTCCAGATCACCATGTTGCTCAATAGCCATTCTAAAGTTTGGGGTTTTACTGTGTTCATGAAGGGCTAAAATATATGACCAGCTTTCTGAACTGTACCCACCACCTGAAAGGAAAGGAGCCATCCACAGAACACAGTAGGGGGGCTTGGAAATGGGATTTGGTACCTGGGTTTGCTTGGTTTTTTGTTTTGGTTGAAGAAAGCCAAACAGAACTTGAAAAATGGCGGGCTGTGATGAGAATGTGTACTTCAGCTGCTGGGTTTTGAGGTAGTTTGTTTTGGTCAAACTGAATGAGATAGCAAGGATGAGAATTAGGATGGATGATAAGTAGAACGCATAGGGTTTCAATTTTGATGTGAAGGGGAGAGTTGGATTGGGTTGTGGTTGGTTTTCAATGGGTCGTTGGGTTTCATTTGAATCCATGAGAGAGGGATAGAGAAATGTAACTGTGCAAAACCAGAAACAACACTCAAAGGGCTTGTGGTAGTGAAACCATGCGCAGAGAGGCACAGAAACTGAAAGAGCGATGCTGTGCAGAGGCACAGACGGTGGACTTCGTGGTAATTTGACTTAGAAAGAGCAACTCCATATCTCATTCAGAGCAGAAAAATATAGTCGGTAAACTACGAAAAAATTGTACGTACGTGTAAAAGAGGCAAGGCATTAAGTTTTTTGTTTCCCAAAAATATATTGAGAAAGTTTTAAAATTGTCACTTGAACTTATAGTTTCAATTTGTCACTTTAAAAAAAAAAAAAATTCGGGCCATTTTCCCTAGGAATCATACATAACTGGTCAATCCAACCCATCCTTGTATTTCTCTTTGTAATTAGAGCCATAATTGTTGCTCATCATGTTTAGATAATATATCCTTTGCATATGTGAGTTAGGCCAATTGAGGAAGGCATTATGTCCGCTACCCTACACCGGAGTTTGATTCCCTTTTTTCATTATTAGAGTAGTTTAGAATATTGTAAAAGAAAAAAATGTGTCAATGGGCTCCCACCACAATAGTGGTGGTGGATTCCCCCTCCCCTCTATGGCATCCACATCAAACTTCAGTGGGGTTTCTTTCCTCCAATGTAATAAAAAATAAAGAAGAAAAAAATGTATTCTTTTTTACACAGGTAAAGATTAATATAAGAAGATATAACATAAAATTGATAATAAGAAGTAATACATATGATATTAAGAAAATATAAAATGAT